AGTTACGATAGGCCTAAATAACACTTTTCGCCTATGTGAGAAAGAAAAATAGAATTAGAATGTTTATATTCGCTATTGAATAAATAATGAACAATCTATTATACGTTTATTATTTATGGTATAATAAATACTTAATAAAAAATATAAACACACCGGTATATATTGTACTATATTGTACTGTGTAATACAGTATTCAACGAATAGTTGATACATGATAAGGTTACGATATGATGCTGCCTATGTGAGAAAAATGTACATAATATAGTATAATATAGCCTATGCTCATACTTACCGTTGAATAAAAACGTAATAGGCCTATTATTAATATAAATGTGTATGGACATAACATGTTTAGAGTAATGTCAGATGAAGTGCTACTGGCGTTGTATGTTTAAAGTATAGATTAGTATATAGCTGTCTTCGTTACAATACAAAGGTAATGTCGTCCGTAATCTAATTGCACGTAATCATCCTTCTACCCACGGGCTATCCCCAACCTCTTCGAAAAGCCAGCGAAATAAACAAACGAAACAGAAATTGTCATTCTACACGCAGAAAACCAACAACAATTAAATCTTTGCGAGAGAAAAGCATACGTCTATTACATTGATTAGTGCTAAATTGTGTTCAAACCGTCTCCGGTATTACGGTGTCAGTAATGATATAAGTAAGCATCATTTTCACTAGGCAGATAATGGCGTTCAGGAAGCCAGGATCGTTTATTGGGGGAAATTACGCCGTCTTTAACTAGGGTACAAATTACTGAACGGCGAAGACAAATCAATGTCTTTAAAGTAAAGTAAAATATTTGCCTAGGGTAGTATTTGGTTACGGACCTCACTGAGTCTGCGGCTACTGCGACAAGCGGGTCTGCACTTTATGTTGATTATCTGATTTATTAGTTAAAATCAATGCGATTAGTAGATGTTGATGTTGACTGATATTTCGCGTATGCGCTTCAAGTTAAAGAACTTGTACTTACTTCGAGATAATTGCACAATCGCGGTCCGCCTAAAGAAAAGTTGTGTGTGAAGATTTTTCTAAGATGGAAATGTGCTCGACAAAACTCGCCTGATGCTGCACACACAATTCACGTAGTTTAGTTGCTGTCTCTTATACACATCTAGATGGGAGACAGGCAAGATGATGATATTCAGTGGATCATACAAACTAACCCCGTGTAAAATAATAGTAATATTTATATGTATATATATAAATATATAAATAAATATATGTATATATACACATATATTTATGGATACATGCATATAAGTATAACTGTCATTATTATTAATGTTATTATTCTTATATACTGTATAGAAATATATGTATATACTTGGCGTATACATGGTAACACTTTGGACGTTCCTTCGTATGAGGACAGTTTACCTCTCCTTCATCTTCCATTCATCTCATCTCGTATTGATTTTTAACTATTAAGTTTGTTTAAGTGTTTATTTGGTATTGACCTTGATGTTTCTTCTTTCTTTTCTTTTTTCTTATTTGCCACCACAAATATAATCGTCTGTTCGCGCTTCCTTCTATACAGTATTGAGAATTATATGTAAACATTTAACAGCGTGTATCTTTATATAGGTGAAAACCCACTATTTTAGTTATAATATTCTTTCCATTTAATTGATATTGTCTTTCCTTATTGTAGATATTGCATTTAAATTTTTAATTCTGTCTCTTATACACATCTAGATGTATTTTATTGCCAACATTCAATAAATCAAATCAAATCAATACATGCATATACGAATATGAATATACAATATAATTCTATAAGTTATTGTTTTAATTACTATTTATTGTATGCATGATATGAATGTATGCATATATTTGCCTTTATATATTATATATTGTTTTAATTTGGTATAAATTAAAAGAACTCTGAAAGAACGAGCTGTTTGTAGTGCAATATTTGCGTAAATAATCATATAATATAATATTTATATTATATTAACCTGAACATCTGCAACATGAATGATACTTACAAGTAATGTATGTAGTGGATGCATGTATGTATTTAAGTATTTATATACATGATTGTATTGTATTATCCTATGTCTACGGTATTATGAATGCGGATTATAACATTGTGTGTGTGTTTTTATATTTTCCCATGGAATGATCAACATGTATGTACAAAGCTATAAAGCCGGAGGCAATACATACACGGAATCGGTCATAAATCATATCGTGTTAGCAGATATTCATTTAGATCGATTAAATTGGAACGGAAAAAAAATTATGCTGGATGATTCGGCCATTATGAGATGCGTCATCAGTCAGTACCTATCATGGATGCGTTTTAACCCCACTCCGAGTCGCTGCAACTTTGCCTTAAGAGCTCCTACTATGACATACCTGTCATTCGTGCCCTACCTCAACTGCTTGTGATATTTTTCATACTTAAAATTGTATAATTTTCTGTGCCTACCATTAGTTGTTCAAGTACGGTATATTTCAAATGAATGGTCAAACAAATGCCGGCATGTATTTAGAGGTCTGTATTACTATATAGGCCTATATTTTCCCGCTAACATAGATGGGCCGATTCACATGCATTGCCTGATATGATAGGCCTAATAATATGTCAGGCTTAAAATATTATTTTTAGTTTTAAAGCGTATTTTTTTAGAAAATAAATGTTTGTCTGCATTAACTTGCCTACCATTAAATTTCCCTTCTCCCCACACCCTATCTCTCCAACCACCCCAATATATGGATGGTGGTATTCTATTTGGTATGCGCATATTTATTTTCTCAATAATATTATTTTGGGAAAAAAAAATGTATTTGATACTTTACCTATCACAAATGGTTTATCTTGTCAAAATTAAGATGAACTGCCGTTAAAACATTATCTCGTTGCTCAGGCATTTTGTGTATAATCATGTTGTAATATGTAATATTATGTTTACGGCTGACGTTACATGTGCTTAAGTATTATATAATATCTATCTATCTTCCGATAAGTACAGGCCTCTCTGATGCTAGGATCATCGTACTTGTAAAGGCGTGGACCAGCTCGTACAGTAACTATCCTTTGCCCTAAGGGTCACTTCGTGTCTGAGCTACCCGGTAAACCGGCACCGGTACAATCGTCAGTCCACGGCAGGAGCTGTATGGACCAGTACTCAGCGGGGTAACTCCCTAATCGTCTCGAAAGATGTACTGGGTTCTTTATAGTGCACATGAGCCAATTGTACCCTGGGCCTACGGCTTATAATCCTTATAAGACTTGCTCCACCTCCAGAGCCATAGGCGAGCGTGCCGTTCGAACCAGCGCCGATATTATGGCTGTGTAGGTTGCGGCGCCCCTGCCTTAACCACTCGGCCATTCGACTCTAATACAACAACGTTTTGCCTTATATAGGCTAATGCAATTTCATTACAAGTTAGATATTTTTTTAAGTATAGTAACTTTTGCATAAGTTAGAAAAAATATATTTGAAGAACACCGATAGGCCTATACAGTAACTCCTTATTTGAAAATACACTGTTCTTGTAAAACCTGGAAAAAACAACTTTTAATTGTACAATTAAAACCCCAATTTGTTCATTGCCCTATATAAAGTTAAAATAATTATCAACCTCTATGAGACAGATTCAAAATTGTTCTGTTTTCGCTTATATACAGATTTTAATAATTGATCGTCAACAGTATTGAGAATTATATGTAAACATTTAACAGCGTGTATCTTTATATAGGTGAAAACCCACTATTTTAGTTATAATATTCTTTCCATTTAATTGATATTGTCTTTCCTTATTGTAGATATTGCATTTAAATTTTTAATTGATCTGTATTACATTGAATTTTAATAATTTCGGAAATAATTGTATATAATAGTCTGTTAGGTAATTACCGTAATTTATGTTTATTTCGTTGATTGTGAATTTTAAAATTTTAAATTATTTTAACGATGTATTAATGATAATAAGTATATTTTTGTTCTATATGATATTTGTGTAATTTTATCGTATAATGTTGCCTATATTAATATTGTATTTTATCGTCCTTTTATGTAAAGCGCATTGAACATCTGAAAATGCGCTATATAAATATTATTATTATTATTATTATTATTATTATTATTATTATTATTATTATTATTATTATTATTATTATTATTATTATTATTATTATTATTAACTATAAATATATACCTACAAAGTAAAAGTATCCCTCTCCGAGCTTTTTCCATCCTCTAGTTTCGGTATTGTCGATATACAGGCCTGTCTGTCGAGGATTTGTAGTTTGGTGGTAAGGCGTGAAGCTGTAGTGTGCAGTTAAAATGTTGTGCCTTCGAATACCAGCACACTCGTGATAATTTTTTCCCAACCCCACTAAGTCTTCTTAAGCTACCCATTTGGACTTAATGTCATTCGCTCTTAAATGAATTTGAATATGTAAAATGATATTGGTCTATTATACTAGACAGCAAAATATAAAGAAACAGATTGAGGAAAGCTCTATGAAAGACTATATAGGACTACTTGCTAGCAACATACAAGGTGCTTTGCGAGAGATAGATTTCAGAAAATGTGTGTATCGAGAATATGTCCCATATGGCCTACAGAATGTTCGTATCATCCCGCCGAAAGGTTTTCTAAATTCATACAAGTATTGTATTTGTTCATTGATTTCCAATGTATTAATGTATCAGTCCGTCTTTCCTCCAATTTATGTGTCAGTTTCAAATTAAGCTGTCATTCCAGAAATGTAATCACAGGTACGTGATGGTCAATGGTCAATTGGTTTGGTCGTCCATCCGCATCGGTCAGTTTTCAACAGACATTCTACCAGTTGAAACTGCAGTCGCAGTTTTCCGCATTTCATCATACAAAATGTAAATATTCTAAACGGTCAACATTTGATTGAATGTCCCTCAATTTAAATATTATCTACATCCAGTGACCGTTTGATAAACTTCACTAATGACCAATGCGACTTTAAAAAATCGTAAGGCATTTTCCTAATATTACAGAGGGCGTAGTAGCCATGTGATGAAGACACAATCATCTTCCAATTTCAAGACAAATGGTTCAAATCCTGCGAGATCAAGATCAGGAAAAAACAAAGTTAAGTGTATTTCAATCCCTTGGTTGGAGACCTACCCCCCCCCCCCCACCCCTATATTAGATGCGAATAAAATTACATGTTAGGAACTATATTTAAAACAAGAGTGTCATTCGATAGTCACGATACTTGGAAGCCTGTTAGGTTTACACTTTAAATGTTATCCATGATTGTTCAAAAACATTATAAGTAGTCATGGAACGAATCGAAAGTTCTTAGTCTTACTAATCGCACTTCTAGCTTTCTTGTTCATTACTGTTTAATCAATCAATTAGATGTATGTATCCTTCCGATATCTTTCAATCCATTCCTCAATCAGTCAATCTAATAAAACGTTTTCATACACATCCATCCATCCATCAGTAAACACATCAGCGCATTACTATCGCCATCCATCAATCTCTCGCTGAATCTGTGTTTTCATCCATCCATCACCAGATCTAGTCATCCTATTTTGCCCCCCGCATCGATTTGTGGTTACTCGATCCATCAACGAGTGTGTGCATTTACGCGATGATCCATCGCTGAGCCATCCAGAACGTTGCTTCTCGTCTTAGCTTTTCTATACTTGATCGGTAGAACCTGAATAAGCATTTATGACGCAACAACGATAAATGAACAACAATTCTAATACAATCAGGATAACTACTAGGCCTATTACTAAGAAAGTCTAAAGTAAATAAGGAGAAATAAATGTGAAAGAATGAATGTGATCACCAAAGTTGCCCGTCTTTGGTTCTGGCTTTACAGTTTCTTTGACTTCTTACTGTTGACTTCTAACATAGTCCTTCTTTGTACATTTAGGGTCAGGAAGCCACTGGTAATATACTTTATTTTACCGTGTAAGTAAAAGTAAGAATAATAATTTATTATACTGTATAACTTAAGTTAATCGTAGGTCCATATTAATGGTGTTATACAATTATTTCTGATGATTAGGCACTGTTGTGTTTTTGAATAAATTGATATGGCAAAAACGGTAGTTTTATTTCATTTATGATTTGAATGTATTTCAAACAAATAAACTTAACGAAATTTATAATAAGAATGTAAATATTGTATTTAAGATAATGTTAATAATAATATATAAAGAATTATCTAACAAACCATTGTAAAATACAGGTATGGTGTCAAGTGGCAGTATTAATTAGTGCAACCTTTACAATCCCCTCCCTGAAACCTTAACTCAAAAAATTGGTGTTCAGTGGGAACGAGCTTGCACCTTAAATAAGCAACGTTCACATTGGATCCGAAATTTCGGATCGCAAGCCCTACCGAACCGATTAGGAAATCGAATCAGTGTGTAGGAATAGGGACGCTAAATTTCGGCTTGAATTTGATGTGAATTAAGTTTAAACAAATGTTTGTATAATCCTATTCAAATACTTAGACTCGGACATGTTGTTTCAGTATTTTGTTTTTAACACAAACTAGAAGGCAATATACTTAGGATATTTCTAGGTAACAAGAATTATATTCTTACTAAAATAATTCGTTATATATATTTATAAGATGAATATCATAAATAATAACTTACCAAGAAATATAATGTTCTTGGTAAGGATAAAATTCTTGCCAATAATATTCTTTGCAAGATTCAAACTCTTAATTCTCAGCTCACTAAATATTCTCAATACTGTATACCGTACCGTACTGACTTTGTAGTGACAAGTAATGAAAAAATAACTGTGAAAACAAGCCTGCTTTTTTTTCCTTTTTTTTTTTTGTTAATAGAAATAACAATTTTGCTCTGTGTGTAATAGCGCATTCTGTTATTAAAATTATTATGTAAGTTTGCAAGATATTTTTTCAATTCAGTTAATTTGTAATAAAATTATATTTTGGATTTGTTGAAATTAAAAATAAAAAGTAGCTCTGTATGAAACTGAGAACATGTAATGCAACAGTTTGTAATAAAACTACAGTATATTAAAGTAACAATTTGAAGTTGGTGATGGGCCTTAAATATAAGTAAAAGGTGCAACAACAAGTCTATGTCTAAATGTTTGAAAGTTTTTCCAGATCAAAGAGTATTTTTATGATCAATATTATGGCACATTGTAGTACAATGACCAGTATTGAATTTTGCCACTTTTGACTATCCTTTCGTCCTTGCCTTCGAGTCAAGGGGTTATTAATCATCGGTTAATCAGGGGTAAAACTTATAATTATTTTGTAGACTAATACCAAATCTTTAGATAGTAGCCAGAAGTAGTTACACCGATTGTCATCACATGTCCTCTTATTAAGACTCACAGCATGGATGGATGGATGGATGGATGGATGTATGCATCCATGCATAGACCTAATAGGTCTATAACCAACAATGCATCCGATGATTGTATCTAAACGTCATGAAAAATATAATTTCCTTCATTAGATATCAACATAATCATCTCTGTTCGTTTGTGTTCCTTCATATCACAGTGATATTAAATAACGTTTATTGTCGACTTATGGTTCGTAATAGAACCATGATCCCTAGTCTAAGCGCAGCAAATCGATCTCATGCATGCTGGTGTCTCTGGTCTCCGGGGACAGAGAGGTGTTTAACCACATCTTGATAGGTGTTGCGAGGCATCAGCGTTCGGCTTGGCTTCGCTAGCCCATTGACATTATGCGATTAGGTATAATTGTGGGCCTTGTAATGAAATACAATTCACGATTCATTTTCAATATTATTTTCCTCGTAGATAGCGGCGATAATGTTTTGGGGAACAAAAGACGACAAGCGTAATATCATGTTAATGCCACTGTGTAGGCTAGATAGTTAATTACAATACTGACGGATGGGTATGCATTGGTTTTGTATTTTTTAAAACATAACCTCTCAGAGCATACTACCTGTTCATACGGCATCTACATTTTTTCTTTCCATCTCCTCCCCCTCCCCCTCTTCTAAGGTAAAGCTTGAGGGAACATTTACCGGACCTTACATTCGTGAGTTCGTTTTCGGTTATGTTAGTTTTGTATAGTACAAGGACTTAAGTATAATGTATCAATATTATCTGAATCATCAATCAAATATATTGATTGATATATAAGCATTAATGTGATATTCTATCACCATTTATTATATTACACTACTACTATTTCTATTTAATTTTATATATTCATTAGCTTATGATATAGGCCTATATTATTTTAATATGAACTGGGGTATGTATATAGGCCTATGTTGTATAGGCCTACATACATACATGTGTTATTCAACAATATACTCACTAATAAATATAATTTAGCCCGTATTGTTTTATATTTTTATGTTTGCATACATATTTATCACATGCATGTAATATAGGCATATATATATATATATATGTATATATATATATATATATATAGGCCTATATAAATATCATGACATACATAATATATGCTATCTGATTATGTATTTAATATTATGTATTCTTTTTTCTTTGTTTGCAGAGTAATTATATAACATAAGCATGAATATAAATGAATTATTTGTTTTATAAATATCAATTTTACTACATACGTGTGTATTTAGCATTGATGAATATATAAATAAGAATACGTTGACTTATAAATACATTTATCATTATGAATGTATGCATATGTATGTATATACTACTTTGATTGTAGAATTATAAAGTATAATTAATATCTGTAAATTTATAAATAAGATTATGTTGACTTATAAATTTATCATTATGAATGTATGCATATGTATGTATATACTACGTCAAGTTGATTGTAGAATAATAATGTAACATAAGCCTATAATATATTATAAATGAATTACTTGTTTTATAAATATCAATTTTATTATATACGTGTTTATTTACCATTAATGAATATATAAATAAGAATATGTTGACTTATAAATATATGTATACATTTATCATTATGAATGTATGCATATGTATGTATATGCTACTTTGATTGTAGAATTATAAAGTATAATTAATATCTGTAAATTTATACCGTTTGTCATAACATAAAACCCTCTAAAAATTCAATCAAAATATTGAATAGCTCATGTATAAAGATCAAATAATTTATTTATAAAAATGATTCAGAGATCGAAATAATTAGGTTTCCCTGATGTACAGACATTGTACTATCCTTTTAATTAAAGGCAGTGGTAGATATTTAGCCGGTAAACGCCTTCTCGTTTAGGCAGAATTTTTGTGATGATTAATGCGGGCGCACTGCAGTGCAGAATTAAAGATGGGCAAATTCGAGTTATAGCCGGCAAAATAAACACTTAATTAATTACCAGCCAATATCAGGGCCTATTCAATGCCCATTTGGCGATGATTTTTTATATTCTCATTCTTCAATTGAAGACTAGTAATGCACTAACATATTATACAAAGTAAATAATTGAAATATTGAGTTGTATTTATTTAGTGCTTATCGCAGCCGGTTTATCTTTTAACGTTGTCTGTCTGTGGCTATATATCAGTCACGCTTATTAAACCTCAACTTGAGTACACAAACATGTGTACAAGTGCACATAAACATAAGTTTATGGTTCATACACTGCATCAATATCAATATGTACACATGTGATATTAGTTTTTTTACTGCAGTATGTCGAGCCGAGTTGCCTCATTTGTATTTACTTTGGATCCGTATCTAGATTTACGACGTTGTACGTTTAAGACGGACGTGAGAGATAGATTAATAGGCTATTGTGATATTATCTCAATTTTAATGACCGCGTTGTGTAGAATATCAAAATATCAAAATACACATCGTTTTTTCAGAGATATAAACATTTCAAACTCTACTGAGCACACTGATTACGTATAATCTGTTCTTTTATCATGGAGGCGAACACGCTGTGGATCAGAATCGATGAATGAAATAGACCACCTTATTAAAATATGATTTTAATTAAAATAATTGTACACATATAGAGTAAATAATATTAATATATATACTATAATATAATTACTAAATAATTTATACGCTTATTATATCTCATCATCATCTAATGCTTTGTCTAGTTTAACATTGTAGAGATATATCAT